TAATACAACCCGTTTCCGCACACCGGCAGTGCTGAGGGGGCTCGCCTGGCGGCCCGTGGGAAGAGCCGGTGGGGCTTTTGGGGAATGTGGCTTCAGCAGGGGACGAGGCTGTAAATCGTAGAATCGTTTAGGACCGAAAAGACCTTTAAGGTCATCGAAACCGAGCGTTAGTGCTGAAATCACAGCTGGAAAATGCGTCTTAAACTTTGTCTTAATTTTAGTATACTGAAAACATGGAGGTATTTAATTTGGCTGTATCCTCATGTTGATGTACTGCAGCAAAAATAGGTAATATTCATAGCCCTTCTCCACAAAGCTACATCTGTTCCAGAAATAGTTGTGATTCCTCGTTTATTTGACTTGCTTTCTTAAGGGCCGAAATAGGGGAAGTGTGGATAAAAGAGCTCTTAAGATACTGTCAGAAAACAACTCCTGTTTTTTAATTGGCTGTTAGTCCTTAAAACTGTTTTTTGACTTCAGTGGCTTAGACAGCTGTACAGATTCTGAGTTTGGTCTGTTCATTTGTAATATAACTTCTGCTTTCCTTCACCAATGTGACTTTTTGTGTTTCAGTTCACAGAAATGATGTCTCTTGATATATCTGACAGCTCTCAAATCTATGCTGCGTTTATGGTGTACCTGGACCTCTTAGAAGGTAATCAAAGAAGTGGCTGGGTGGACATCACAATATATGCATTTGCCTTTAGATGCTAGTAAAGTTTATGAACTGGCAGGACTTTTTGGAGAAATCCTTGGCTTTCTTTTTGAAACTTCATGCAGTTGCCTAAGAGACAGATGGTATTTTGGCACTGAAGATTACTGTCCTGTGCTTACCTGGAGCCTTTACAAAGATGAAGGCCCATTTTCTCCAGCAGTTACAGATGCAAGATGTTCCAGGGCACAGACACTCAGCATGGAAGAAAAGCAGAAGAAGAAGGGGAGGGAAAAGGGCCATAGAAAGGTGAAGGTATAAGGTCCGTGGTTGTGCTGGTGATAGAATCCTCATATGCAGATTAATGTCCAAGTTACTAAATCATGTTGCACTAAAGTTACCATTCAGCAAATGGCTGATGTGTGTAGGCCTGATTAGGATGCTGTTTTCTGGAAAGGGCAAGGATTCCGATAGGAAAGAAGATAATTTGGAAGCCTGGTGGCAATATTTATGACAAGTGCAGTATAGTCTTCTGGTGTCTTGTGAAGAGTGGAGCAAGGTTATGCAATACATAAACTTCCCCCTGCAGTTCTTCCCAGTTAGCCCTTTATTGAAAGGGGACAGGCAGCCAGCCTCGTAACGACACTCTGGTTTCTCTTGGAGGCTGGTGGTTCTCCAGGCCTGGGAAGGGAGGGGTTTTACAAGCCAGAAAGTACTATCTGGTATTGTTACACCTCTGAATAAAATGCCTTAATAGGCTTAAAGAGAAGGCTCCTGTAGCTCTGCAACTAAAGCTTTCAGTCTTATCCTTTCAGGCTGAAGGGAAGAACTCTTATCATCAAAAATCATGCTTTGAGCACCTGCTCCTTCACACCTTAGGGTACTGATACAGCTCAAATTCAGATTACAGTTTTATGCTGCAGATGTCTTCTGCTGACCACTTGCCCAACATAGAAGGATAGTATCATTAATGGGCAAACCAGCAACCAAAGTCCTCCCTCCACTCTTTAATCATACACCAGAGATCCAAAGTGGACAACTAGAGGGAGGAAAAAGTCAATGCACTCACTCACAGCATGCTGTGTGAAGAAGGGAGCCAGCTGACTCCAGAACCATGCTGTGGTAGATGGAACCAGCCAGACAAGGAGCCCGGTTATGTAGTATTTCCCCAGAGAGACTCATCATCTTGCCCTGTCATTCTGGGAGCTCCACTTGCTATGAAGAGTTAGGGAGCCCTCTAACCACACACACACCCACTATGCAAGCAGAGTTAATTCTTATGGAGGTGGCTTCTTGCCCCACCTCCAAGTTAATATGGAACAATGGAGGACCTGGTGGTGATCTAATCAGTTCCCACCCAAGGCTGGCCAGGCTCTGGTTGAGACCAGTCAGGAGGCTCTTTCTTGCATGGCTGTGAACATCATCCATATGCCAACCTTCATTCACGGCTCGGGGTTTAACCCCTGCACTTCAAGATGACAAAGATGTTTTTTGACTTTGCCTAGTTGAAATGAAGCTTTGGCAGACAGCTCCTCTTCACCATTGCTCAGTGTGGCTCTGGGGTCAGCAGAGCTGCTCCAGTGGGTTTTTTTAACAGGATTGTTTGTCCAAAGGGAAACTTGACAGTTGAATGGAGTAATTGTCTCGCATGGAAAACATCCTGTGAGGAGACAGAACCTGTGACATTAACTTACACACCAAATTTGTTAATCAAATGATTAAAACTTATGTTTTGTGTTCTGTTCCTTCTCATCAATGGTGAACCTTTCTAGGGAGAAACTGGCATGAAGTGAAGCACGTTGGAGTAGCAGAACTGCAGCTCGTATGCTTACATGCACGTGAGAAAGAGCGGGAAGGTTTCCAGGTGATGGTGCCGGTACCTGTGCACATATCCTTAAGCCATGAAAGGTGAGGATGTGGTCACTGTTTGGCTCGTGGTACCAGTAAGATAAAATGAAGAACAGATCATATTTAACAGGCTGCTGGTGACCAGGTCAAGAGAGGAAGGGGGAGGAAATGAAGTATCAGAGGAAAGGAATATCTCAGCCTCTGAGCAGAGTTGTATGGGGTCCTGCAAACATACATGCAAAGTTGAGATTTCTTTGATTTTCTGAGCTGCATCAGTCTCTGCCTCTTCCTCTCTGAAAGTGGTTGCCTTTGATGTCAGCTTTCTACAGCAACAGACTCCTGCTGATAAGCACTTCGTATTGTTTAGAAGTTGCATATGCTCAGGGAGATAACAATGGATATCAGAGTATGAGTTTGAGAGGCAAGCATAGAATATAAAACCTTCACAGCTTAAATTTTGAACATTTTTGCGGTGCTTTTTTGTAGTCTGGGAAATTTACCAACTTCTTTGTCACTGGGCTTTAAAGTACCTAAGAGGAAAGAAATCCTCTTGGACCTGTGTAAGAATAAACTTTTTTAAATTATGGAATCTATGGCTAAGTCTGGTCTATTTGGTTTGCTTTGCTTTTTGTTTTGAAAGTATAATTTGGCTACTTTCAACCGGAAATTCCTCTTGCTTATCCGGAGCTTAATGTGTAACAGTCCCTTGAGCTGTGTTTTTGTCTTGCTTTCCTTACCCATGCAAGACTAAGTAATTCTCAAGCAGAGGACAACACAGCTGTGAGTTTGTGATATTAGAGATATTTGCAGCCTAGAGAAACTCCTCTTCAGTCCCTGTATGCTCTGTTTTAACTCACCCTTAGAACAGCCTCCAACACACTGTATGATGCTCTCTGATAACAG